TTAATTTTAAACAATTTAAATGTTTGGGTATTGAACAGGTCCTCCCTAATTGGAGAGGAGGAGATAGGATTAAAATATCCCAAAGAGAAACATTCTGGATACAAACTGCAGACACTGGAACCGAATGGGTTGAATGTAAAGATTGATTTGGTATGCTTTTTATAGGAAATGTTTCATAGGGGTCTTCTCACAAGAAGTTGAAAAATAGTCCTTTGCCAATTCATCCTCAAAATTTATCATCAATATTTGTTCCATTATTTTCCAATTAAACGAAATAAGATATGTGGAAGTGTCTTGATTTTAATGTTTTTTAATTGTGTAAGATGCACTTTAAATATTAGAATTGACCTTTTTTATTTATTGGCACTTTTTATTCACTTGCACATTATATGTTTAATGATGTTATTGTAAATGTTTGAGAGACATGATTAAAATAGCTGATTTGAATATTATTAGTCATGAATTACAATTACATACATGACTTATAGTGACTATGGCTCCTAATGATATTCTGTTTGTAGTGGTTTCTTTAAAAATGGGATCCTTTTGATTGGGGAGTGAGGAACTTTCAAATAACCCGATGTAGGGTCTGCGGACACAATTAATCCCAAAGCGCGTGCGCAAGAGTGGACGGAGCGCAAAAGGGAGGATACAACACTGGAATGCACGGAAGTGCAGAATAAAACTCATATGGCACGCAGACGCTACGGGATCAACGTAAGAAGATTGGAAACAGCTGACTCGGATCCTAAGTAGCACCTATGATGTGATCAACAATCAGGACAATGGATACTTATTTATAGGGAACATTGGAGGGTGGGAATTAGGTGGCAATTTTTTACTGAATATTACTTGTTTATTTTACTATGAGAGGTCCCTGAGGAAGTTATTTTTACAGAACAAAACGCGTAAGGCTGGACCTATAATTGTATCTTCATTAGATATTTTAATGCCAAATAAAGAGTTTTTTCACCTGATTCCTGCTCCTGTTCCTTTTGGCTTCTGATACCACCAAAAGGATAAAAAGCTTCTTTTAGCCTCCCACTGCCATTGGGGGCGGCACCTATAAGGTAATCTCACAGTCTACATCTTGTGAGTGTAACCAATAATGTGTCTTTCTGATACATTTTAACTGTATTACACTATGTTCTTTTAATTGTGTTTTTCAGGTTGTACAGCTGTATCCCTTAGTTTTTCTATATATACTAAAATATACCTCAGGATAATCTTCACAAGATAGTGCTTCTGGTACATATTTACATTTGTTGCATGTTCTGGCCCTCTGTGGGAGGAGACTTAAATCGAAAAATTACATTCCAGAAACTTTATATGGACTAAACTATGCCTGAAGATAATCTGCACTGGATAGTGCTTTTTGTACATATTTTCATAGTTTGCATGCTCTGGTAATCTATGAAAGGTGACAAAAGGTGGATCCAAACTAAAGAAACAGGTGGTACTACATTGGAGACGGTACACGATTTTACAGCTTTTGGGAGCTTCATCTGTAAAAGCTCTCTTCCTTTTGTGACCAAGACAGTTTCCATAATAATTAAAATCCAGATTCCCTTTGCTAGCCAGATAGATAGATAGATAGATATACAGCTGTGCTCAAACGTTTGAATACTCTTGGTGAACTGGTAATAAATGTACCATTGTAAAGAAAACATGAGTGAGCAGGCAAAATACATTTCTTTTATTTCTTTTGGGGTTCATATTCAACTGCTGGTTATAACAGAATGGTACAATCATAAATCCAAACCCCTGTTCAAAAGTCTGCATACCCTTAGTTCTTAATACTGTGTATTGCCCCCGTTAGCATCAATGACAGAGTACAGTCTTTTTTTATGGTTGTCTATGAGGCCCCTTATTCTGGCAGATGGTATAGCTGCCCATTCATCTTGGCAAAATGCCTCCAGGTCATGCAAAGTCTTTAATCGTCACCACACGTTTGAGATCTCCTCAGAGTGGCTCGATGATATTAAGTTCAGGAGACTGTGATGGCCACACTGGAACCTTCAGTTTTTTTCTGCTGTAAACACTGCAGGGTCAACTTGGCCTTGTGCTTAGGGTCATTGTCATGCTGGAAAATCCAAGAGCATCCCATGCGCAGTCTTCATGCAGACGAATGCAAGTATTTTCTGATAACATGATGCATTTATCTTGCCATCAATTTTCACAAGATTTCCCGTGCCGTTAGAGCTCACCCTCCCCCCCCAAAACATCAGTGAGCCACCACCATGCTTAACAGTGGGGTTGGTATTCTTTTCACTAAGGCCTTCTTGAACTTTCTCCAAACATAGCGCTTGTGGTTGTGACCATAAAGCTCTATCTTGGTCTTGTAACTCCAAATCCCAGTGTGCCAGAAGCTGTGAGGCGTGTCAAGTTGTTGTTGGGCATATATAAAGCTTTTTTGTGGCAGTGGTGCAGTAAAGGCTTCTTTCTGGCAACTTAACAATGCAGCTATTTTTTGTTCAAGTATCATCGTATTGTGTTCCTTTAGTTAACTACACCGTATTTTTCCAGAGAAGTCTGTATTTCTCCTGAGGTTACCTGTGGGCTTTTCTTTAAATCCCAAGCAATTCTTCTGGCAGTACTGGCTGAAATCTTTCTTAGTCTTCGTGACTTGGGCTTGGTACCTAGAGATCACTGAATGTTCTACTTCTTAATAAGTGATTGAACAGTACTGACTGGCATTTTCAAGGCTGTGGATATCTTTTTTATATCCTTTTCCATTTTTATAAGTTCCATCACCTTGTTTTGCAGGCCTTTTGACAGTTCTTTTCTGCTCCCAATGGGCAAGTATCTAGCCTGTTTAGAGGATCCATGTGAAAGCTAACAAATTCACTGACTATTTATACACAGACACTAATTGCAATTTAGAAAGCTAAAGGTGTGGGAAATTAACCTTCAATTGTCATTTTAACCTGTGTATGTCACCTTGAGTGTTTGTATAAAGCCTTGATAAAGGCTACCAGGAGGAGCCGAAACGTTGGGGGACTATTTGTGACTCGTGTTTCTGCCCATATTGGCTTGTGGAATGTGGTAAATATGTATTTTTGGAGATTGATAGCCTAGGAAGTCACTGTTATATTATTTATGTATGGTTTGTACTTATATTGTAATAAATAAATATAGATAGATACTTTTGTATCATATGGTGTCCATTCTTTGTTATTGATTTGTAACAAAGTCAAACATTCAAGGGTGTGTAAACTTTTGATTGTGGCCATTTTGGTCATTTCTATTATTATTATGATTTAAAAAGAACAACTATATGATAAGGGAGGAGGAAAAGGTATTGAAATTGATACGATGTCTCCTGTCTTCTATAGAAATAAAATGTTGTTCGAAGACCAGTTGTTTTTAAGGCCTGAACTTTTTTCTCTAAGTTTGACATTTTCTGGGCATGTGATTCAGAGGATGTCTCCCCAGAACTCAGTCTACTTACTAGGCCTTACTATTTAATTGGCCTGTGAGGTCTGTGCATAGCAAGGCCACATCTACCTGGATGGTATTCCATATATCCGTCAACATTTCCCTCAGGGTCTTGGGCATCACCGGTGTAATCAGAACCACAGTAGACCACTGGTAGGTGTGTTCAGAGTAGGTTTATCTGCACTACCCAAGCCTAATGAGAGCTCCTCTAAAGAGTCAGAGTAGGTGTCTAGGCCGGTGGCCATCTTTGGCCCAAGTGTACAATGAGCCTGGTGGAGCATATCCCTGGTGTGGGTTTGTCTGGTCTTAATTCTTTAGTTTTCTGACCCATTATTGATCTGAGCTGTAGTAAGAGTGGTTATGAACTTGTAAAATTTGCTGGAGTTGCAGTTTTATGGCTATAATGCACACACTGAGCCATTCACATTCATTCTTGGTGCCAACCTAATATATTTTATATCTTGTTTCTATCTACATGTGAATACCGAGTAGAGAGCCTAGTCTATGGTTTGTTACAAATTTTGAAATGTGTGCTTTTGCTTAGATTTGTAGCTAAGAATAAGAAATTATTGATTAAATATATGCTCAATACTGCAAAGAGTTTCATCCAGATTCCCTGACATCAAATGCATCTTTAACTTCTCCAGAAATGTTCAATAGAGTTAATGCAATCCAGGAGATATAGATATTAGAGCTAAAAATATCTACACTTACTTGGCTCCTCTGGCAACAGATAATTTACTAATTTTATTTAAGCCTCCTGACCTCTCAGCACTCAATCAGACAACGAGATTTTGTTACTTCCTGATTTGTTCTGCTCAGTGGAGCTAAACTCAAGAGGCATCAATGATATAGAACACTTGCTTTGCAAAGACTTCTCATTGAGCTGCATTGGATAGACTGTCATTGGAAAGTTACAAAAGTCTGAGCTGGATAAGAAGGGAAGGGTTTGCAAAGGCTGCAGACAATATTTCTGCAGCTTTTGCTAACTGTTTTAGATATACCTCCCATGAAAAAAATAAAATAAAATAAAAAAATGCATATTTAAATGCATGTCTATTTTCAACAGTGATTTATTTTAAGTTTTAATTAGCCAGTGAGATGTATCTTTAACTTTTTGTTCTCAGTTTTTCCTCCATTTAACTTTCACTTTTTTCCGTGTCTTTTTGACTCTATTCTAATCTTCTGTTCCTCCTGTTTGTAGGGATGTTCAACTTGCAGTATTGTTTTACTATTATGTGAAGCATCTTATATGACATGTTTTTTTTCTTATTGCACATTCTTCATCCCTCCACCTGTTTATAGAAATTTGATAAAAAAAAAGTTCTGTAAATGTTCTTATTCTGTGATCGTTCGATTTCCAGTGTTTGATCTATGAATTATTCTTGCTCTACACTTCTCTGTGCAGATACAGATTTTGGAGTAAATACAAGCAGCAATAGTTTCAAAGACTTACATACCGGTAGATCTGTTCTATTTTATATCTAACACGCCTTATACAAGTAGGTAATTGAAGACTGGGGCAATTATGTTTGTTACAATGTGAAATGTATATAAATTACCTTTGTAACGCCAGGTACCCACATAGGTGTAGCACAGGTCTTCTTTCTCCCTGCACACTATGTTAGTGTCTGCAACACATTCCTCATTGGAGTTCAAATTTATGCACGTTGGACAAGTTTTTCCTTGAATTTTTTCACTCTCTTCTGGAACTGTGAGTAAGAAGAATTTATAAAATACAATTCTTTAAATCACCCTATAGCTTCTTCTTTGCAAACTGCAAAGTAGCTAGCAGCAAAGAAGCTTTGTTCTTTGTATTTTCTGACAGATATTTGTAGCTCCAATAACTAAACTACTGTGTAATTATTCTGCCTCGTTCTTTAACCCCTTAAGGACTGGACTGTTTTTGCGATGTTGTACATTTGCGACCAGGGATATTTTTACACTTTTGTGGTGTTTGTGTTTGGCTGTAATTTTCCGCTCTCTCATTTACTGTTCCCATACAAATTATATATTGTTTTTTTCAGGACAAAAGGGGCTTAATTTACATACCATTATTTATATAATCTCATGTATTTTAATTTAAAAAAAATAAAAAATATGATGAAAAATTGAAAAAAATACATGTTTTTTGACTTTTACTTGAAAAACCTTTTACTCATCTACAAAAGCGAATGAAAAAAACTGCTAAATAGATTCAAAATTTTGTCCTGAGTTTAAAAATACCCAGTGTTTACGTGCTTTTTTTTGCATGTTATAGGGCTATAGGTACAAGTAGGATATTGCGGTTTCAAAACATAAATTTTTGAAATTTATCAATAGTGACATTGTAACACTATTATCTGTCATAAATCTCTGGATAACACCCCACATGTACATATTTTTTTTAAAGTAGACAACCCAGGGTATTCAATATGGGGTATGTCCAGTCTTTTTTAGTAGCCACTTAGTCGAAAACACTGGCCAAAGTAAGCATTCATATTTGTTTGTGTGTGAAAAAGTAAAAAAACTAAATTGAACGCTAATTTTGGCCAGTGTTTGTGACCAAGTGGTTACTAAAAAGACTGGACATACCCCATTTGCAATACCTTGGGTTGTCTTCTTTTGCAAATGGTATGCCATCATGGGGGTAATTCTCATTCCTGGGCTACCATACGCTCTCAAAGGCAACATAACCAACCTGGCCATTTTCAATGTAAAAATATATAACCCATATATTTGACCTTGTAACTTTCAAAAATGCTATAAAACCTGTACATGGGGGGTACTGTTTTACTCGGGAGACATCGCTGAAGACAAATATTAGTGTTTAAAAACTGGAAAACGTATCACAACAATTATATCATCAGTAAAAGTGCTGTTTGTGTGTGAAAAATGCAAAAAAAGTAACTTTCACTGACAATATCATCGCTGTGATATGTTTTACTGTTTTGAATCACTAATATTTGTGTTCAGCGAAGTCTCCCGAGTAAAACAGTAGCCCCCATGTACAGGTTTTAGGGTGTCGTAGAACGTTACAGGGTAAAATACAGTACTAGCAAATTAAATTCTCTGGAATTTCGGCCTGGGTTGGCAGGCAGGTCCCTCAAATTGCAATCAATAAAATTACTGAATTATGTAAAAATATTACATAAATACGCACGTAGAATTTAAATATATGTGCATATTTATATATTTGAAGTATACGTGTATATTTATATATGTAATTTTGTATATGGACATATGTATATTTTGTATTATTTTTATTTATTTATATATACATAGATATATATACAAATTCATTCTAAGTGTATTTTGATATACATATTTATATATATTTTAAAATACAGTTAGAATAAAATTTCATATAGATATATAATTTTAATTTTAATTTTTATTATTATTTAAAAAAAAAATATTTAATTTAATTTACTTATTATTTATATTTTATAATAATATATATACAATATATATAGATATTATATATATATATACACATGTGTAATTTAATTATAAGTGTATTTTTATATTAATATAAGTACATATTAATATAAAAATACACTTAGTATGGCATTTTATATATATATATATATATATATATATATATGATATATAGACATATATTATATAGATATAATATATGTCTATATATCATATATACACATATATAATTATTTTATTTTTTTATTAACATTAACTTTATTTTTATTTTTTTTTATTTTACACTAGCAGGGAGACTGCCTGTCAGCACAGGCTGTCCCCCTGCAGACAGACACATGGACCCCTATTGTGACCATGTGATCGCTGTGTTAAGCGATCACATGGCCACAGGGGTCATAATCCAGTGTGGGGAAACTGTCTGGGCTGCAGGCAGTCTCCCCACACCGGGAGCCACGCTGATCGCCGCCGGGGGAACGACGGCGATCAGGTAAGTAACTCAGACCGTTAGGACGGTTCAGGACCGTCATCGGTCGGCAACGCAAAAATGCTGATGACGGTCCTGAACCATCCTCGGTCGTTAAGGGGTTAAGGCAAGTTAAAAGTGGGTTAAGCAAATGAGAGAATATACAATAGTGTTTGTGTAAATATGTACACAGAATGTGACACAAAAGAAAATAGTTGTACAGGTCATAAACAGAGTAAAAGACTGGCAGAACTGATAATTAATTCTAGAAATAAATTCCAGAAAAGGTGCAGAGACTTTGATAAATATCCCTATTGCTTTTGTGTTTCGTTGTCCAATGTAATGTGTGTCCTGTCCAGGGCCGGATTTACAATTTAGGCGACTGTAGGCACAAAATTCTAAGATGCACCCTGCTCCCCAACCCATATGCCAACCCAGGCATATAAATATGTATAATGAATGTATCAGAGGCGGCTTTAGACTTTATGAGGCCTTAGGCAAAACTCAAACATGAGGCCCCACTGACACCCAAAGTGAAACTTGCAGCGCTGGAGAGTTAGTCTCTGCATTCATTGTTCTGTGACTGTGACATGGTGAGTAAAGGGGTACCAGTGGCAGGAAGAATGTGATAGGATGAAGGAGTTAAATGGGACAGGGTAGGGGGGTTGTAAGAGAGAATAAGGGAGGGCGAGTATGACATTGTTTGATGACAAAGTGTGACAGGGCAGGTGGAGGTAAGTGTGTCAGGACAATAGCGGCATGGTAGGAGGTATGAGTGTGACTGGATCGGAGGGTTGATGTGACAGGGTAAGTGTGGCAAAGTTGGAGAAGGTGAGTATCACAGGGTTGGGATGAAGGGTGAATTTGGCACTGTTGGAAGGAGTGTGACAGGATTAAAGGTATTAATGTGACAGGATAAGTGTGGCAGGGTTGGGAGGAGAGTGTGACAGAGTGAGGGAAGGTGAGTGTACTACCTACATGCAATTGAACATGTCATCTTGTAGGTTCATAAATTGATAATTTAAGTATATAAAATATATAACATAATGCTTAAAATGAACTCTTAAAAAAAAATGAATCACACTCACTCTCATAATTAAAGATGTTGCAGTTGTCCCCATCACAGCATTTAATATTTACTTTAAGTGAAGCCGGATTAGTACCGCCAACATCGATATTACCAACATATCCACAGGTTATGTTTTCAGTAACACATCCCTTGACAATGGAATGGGAAACTACACCAGCTGCAGGAAAAAAAAAACAGGATATATGTAGTCAATGCCCAGTATTCACAGTATTTACAGCATAAATAGCAAGAGATAACCATCCCGTTACAATATCCACATAAATACTTTTGTATATTGGATTTGTTACATAAACAACATTACAAATAAAAATCAAATTATTATTATTATTATTATTATTATTATTATTATATATAAAATCATTTCTAGATATTTTGTTGATATTTTTCAAGCATCTATGATGCAGCACTTTTTTTCAGGAACAAAATGTTCTCTCACAGATATTTTTTTAGCTCTATCTTATGTGCTTCTCCCCATTAACTCTCTCTGTACACAAGGTTCCGCTCTAAATTACTCTTCTCCATCTACACATCTGCTCTTATAGCAAACTAAAAAATTATCTGAAATTTCATATCATATGTATGAGGACAGCACACTTCCCCACCTATCTTTCATGGTCATACTGCCTCTATCTAACCAAAATTCCATTACAGAATCTAAGCTTTGAGTAAAAAAAAATTGTTTATGATAACTATATCCCCTTAATTCCTGAGATCTCTCTCAGTAGATCATGTCATAATTACACCAACTGTCCAAGCACGCTTGCTTCGTTTTTTTTAAATCTGGCTCTCTCTTTCTTCCCCACATTAAATCACTTGCTGAATCTTGTCACTTTCCCTTAAAGAGCATCTCTGATTTATCTCCATTCTGAGAAGGTTACTCCAAGAACCATGACCACTTCAGTGTTCTAAAGTGGCTTTGGTGGTTAGACTCTGTTTGTAAAGAATTTCAGAAAGAAAGTAGATCCTACAATGCTGGGGAATCTGAGCTCTGACATTTATAGCTTGCGAGTGTTCAAAAGCACATGTCTGTACTCCCACATCTGATGCTCGCCTTCAAGACTTCAAGGGCTGCACCATTCCTGTGGAACTCGCTTCCCTCCTCCGTTAGATGCTCACCCAGTCTCCACTCCTTCAAAAAATCATTAAAAACCCACTTCTTCAAAAAAGCATATCAATTAAACTGTTGATAGCTCCCGACTGATTCCTCTTCTGCAACTGTCATTAGTCTAATACTATCCTTAACTTTTGTGTCACTTTACCCCACTCCCTCTAGCATGTAAGTTCATTGAGCAGGGCCCTCAACCCGTCTGTTCCTGTGTGAATCAACTTGTCTGGTTACAACTACATGTCTGTTCGTCCACTCACTGTAAAGTGCTGCAGAATTTGTTGGCGCTATATAAATAATAACATAATAATATTAAAACATGGACAGGCCCAGTCTATTTCTCATGTCCTTACATAGGTTTGTATTGGCTGTTATTGGTACATGTCATCATCATATATTTTAAGTCATTGAAAAGTATTATTGTCTTATTCTTCTTACTTTATAAAGTTTTGAAATTCAACAGATATTTTCTACTTACACATGTTTATGAGATCGGATTTTGCAAAGCATTTGGAATCTCCACAGCAAGTCATAGATTGTTCCTGACATGTATCACCATATACGTTGGTGCACTGGAGGCAAGTCGAGCAATAAACTGAAAGATTAAGGTAAGATGTGAGCTATCTACCCAGGCAGTTTTACAATGTTCTGGAAGGGTCAGACTAGGCACTAAGGGTCAGACTAAGCACTATAACCACTTAACCACTTTAAAATGTTTAATTCC